TTCTTCTAACCTATTATATATATACATATATATATATAAAACACATATAATCTTGTTAGCATTGCACTGTCTTTACTACTGTACATTTATAATAAGTTTTAAAATTAGGAATGTGAGATTCCCAATTTGCTTGTCATTTTCAAGATTGTTTTATCCATTCTAAAAGCCTCACATCAGTTTAAGAATTAGCTAGCATAATTCTATGAAAATAACCAGGGTGAGAGAGATGGTACAGGAGTTAATTCATGCTTATATGGGGCCATTCCTTGTTCAATCCCTGTCACCACATGGTCACCTGTGTGATCTGGGAGGTCCTCAACCACTGCCAGTATAACCTGAGTAATTCCTAGCACCAATAGTATCACATTGCATTTAGTTGGATTGACCGAGATCACTACTAGCGCTCCTACCAACACACCAACCCAAAAAGAACAGTTGACCACAAGCAAGAAGTTTAGGTTCCTCATGGATCACTACATCAGAATTGTTCACCCCTTACATTTCATATTCACAGTCTGAGCCAGTCATAGATGTTGAATAATCCCCCCCCCCCATCCTGAATCTGATATACTCAACTATAAATAAGTTGTATGCGATTTTTGATTCTTGGGTGGCATGTACCTCTAACTAGTTTACTGTCCAAGAGTCAATCATGTTTTATTCTTTTAATGCTACTGTAAATGGAATTACTTTCTAAATTTCATTTTGAGCTTACTCATTGCCAAACTTCAGAAGTTCCATTGACTTCTGTATATTGATCTGCATGATCTTACAACATTGCTGGATTCACTTTTTAATTTTGTCAAGGGTATGTGTATGTGTGTGCGTGCGCGTGCATGTGTGTATTCATATATATATGTATATTCACACATACATGCACACAAACATATACAAGTAAAATACTTAAGATTTTTTTTACTGAACAAGATCATGTCATTTATTAAAAAGAAAAAGATAGTTTTAACCCTTCCTTCCCTATCTTTAATTTTTCTTGCTGAATTTTCTTACTAAAATTCTCCAGTACAATTTTGACAAGAATAGACATCCTAACCCTGTTAGTATTGGAGAAGGCTTTCAGTGATGCTTGCCATTTGTACTGATTGTTACCTTTTACAAGCTTAAGAAAGTTTTCTTCTCTTCCTAATTTGTTTAGTGTGTTTTATCAGGAAAGGGTTTAAGATTTTTATCAAGTCCATTTTTCTATGTCCAGCAAGATGATTGTGTGGCCTCTGCTCTTCATTCTATAAACTGGGTGCATTATGTTGATTGATTTCAGTTATTAAACCAATCTTGTTTTCTTGGAATAAATCCCATTTGGTGAAAATGCAGTTATTTTTATATGGCTGAAATCAATTTAAAAATATTTCACTGAGGAATATGGTATCTACATGCATAAGCGATATTGGTCTAAAGCTTTCCTATCATCAACACACATTTAAAATTATTCCCTTATGCAGCTGACTTTTAATAAACATTGAAGAAAAAAGGATCAAAACCAGAAAATATATGTATCATTGATCTTTAAGTTCACCTAAGTAGTTAACACTATTGCTGTTCTTTATTTCATTATGAAGAATCAAATTACTGTCTTTTACCTCCTTATTACTGCTAGAAGGATGCCTTTTGGCATTTTTTTAATAAAGAAGGTGTGCTAGCAATAAATTCTCTATTGTAGAATGCCTTACTGTCTCCTTGACTTTGGAGGGAAAGTTTTGCTAGAAGTGTAATTCTTGGTTAATAATCTTTTCTTTCCATTTTTTCATTTATCATTATGCTGAAATCTGAATTCCATGATTTTAAAGAAAATTTGAATCTTAATCTTACTGAGGATAATTGGATCGTTGGCATATATTGTTTGATCTCCCGTTCAATTTCAGATTCTTTATTTTTGTCTTTTGATTATTCAGTTATAATGAGAGTTGGTGTGGAACTCTCAGTTTATTCTATTTGAACTTCATTGAGCATTTTGAATATGTACTTTTCCCATTAAATGTGGGAAGTTTTTAGTCATTAAATATGCTAACTGTACTTTCTTGTCTCCTCTCTCCTGGGATTCCCATTCCATGTATGTGGCATGACATCTGATATGACAATTTGTTGGTATGAAAAAAATTGACTTATCTCTGAGACATACTTCTTTTACTTTTCCATTATTTTTTCTAACTGTTCCTTAGATTAGATGATCAACCCATATTTAAGATGAGTCTTCTTTCTGCAACAATCTGCTATTAAAGGGCATTTCATGTCAACTCCTATACTTCCCAGTTCTAGATTTGTATTTTTTTCCATTTCTCAGGGAACCATATTGGCAGTTCTCAAGCCATATTCTTAGTTCTGTGCTCAGAGAATACTTCCAGCAGGCTCAGAGGACCATATAGGGAGTTCAGGATAGAATCTGGGTCGGTGGTACGCAAATTAAGCACATAACCCACTGTACTATTGCTCACTCTGGCACTGTAAGTTTTTTAATTTTAGATAGATAGGTGATCTGTTATGGTCTGAGAATATCACTTAAGAGGTAAAGCATATGCCTTGGTTTACCTAAATGTGACACCAATCCTCATGCTCTTCCCCTCACAAGCATGACTGGATATAGCTTTGGTGAGCCCTGAATATGACTGGGAGTAACCTTTCCAAAAACCAATTTTTTAGTTAAAAATTCTTTTTTGAAATAATCTTTGCTTGGAAAGACATTGTTTATAATTCTTTAGATATGGTTTCCATTAGCCTCTGAACATAGCTAAATTGTCTTAAATTGCAAATTAGGTCATATTATGATAGCACTGTAGCACTCTCCTCCCGTTGTTCGTCGATTTGCTCGAGTGGGCCAAGTAATGTCTCCATTGTGAGACTTATTGTTACTGGGTCTGGCATATCGAATACATCACGGGGAGCTTGCCAGGCTTTGCCATGTGGGTGCAATACTCTCTGTACTTGCTGGGCTCTCCGAGAGGGGCAGAGGAATCAAACTCAGGTCGACAGGGCCGGCTGTGTGCAAGGAAAACATCCTACATGCTATGCTATGATAATTTTCTAAAAACTGCTAGGGGAGCAGACCATAAAACTAAGCCTGTTCCTTTTATCCCTATTGGGCTGCTAATCTTTCTATTTCTGGTTTTGGGGTGGCACTCAGGGATTCTGTGCCACAAGTGGCAGTGCTCAGGACATCACGTTCAAACGAGTCAGCAGGATACAAGACAATAGCCCTTGTATTATCTCTACTTTTCAATAATTTTCTACTGAAAAATTACTGGTTTGTAAGAGATCTGTGGAGTTGAGGAAAAGGATGGATATGTGCAAGTTAAAACACCACAAAACTCACTAAGTTTTTTAAGCCAAGATTACTTTGTCATAATATTGTTACTCCTTTCACTATTTAATCTCCAGAATTTTGAAAGTTGATTTTGATCATTTTTTGTCAATGATTTTTTATTTTGATAGAGAAGTAGATTTTTGGAGGTTCTTATTTGGTATTCTCACAGATGCCTCATATTTCTTATTTTTAAGTCATACCATTTATGCTTCTTGGAGAGCCCGGAGAGCCCGGCAAGCTACGGAGAGTATCCCACCCACATGGGCAGAGCCTGGCAAGCTCCCTGTGGTTTATTCGATATACCAAATACAGTAACGATAATAGATCTCATTCCCTTGACTCTGAAAAGGCCTCCAATCATTGGGAAAAGACGAGCAAGAAGAGGCTGCTAAAATCTCAGGGCTGGGAGGAATAGAGACATTACTGGTGCCCACTTGTGTAATTTGATGTTCAACGGGATGACAGTGATACAGTGATAAGATAGAATATTGTATCCCCACATTCTCATACATCACCCAGTATATCTTCAGAAAACCACTAGTATAAAACCACATTTCGTTCATAAATATCAACAGACTTTTATGGAAGAGCTGTAGGACATATCCCAGGACACTATGCGATTATGATGACTTCTATTGGCATTTCCAAACTGACTGGGTAGCGTCATTCTCCTGGGAAGAGGGTTAAAACTCTAAGGATTATCTGACATTTTCCTTGATCTTTTCCTTTTATATCCCCTAATGTTTTTTTTTCATTCTTGTTCATATATAACTCTTCCTCCTTTCATTACCAATGCACCATTTACTCTCCTTTGGCACCATTCTTACTTTCTATTCCTTCTCAGTTGCAAATCAATATTCCTATAAATATGACTTTGATGGGTTTGCTTCAGAGATCAGAAATTTTTACCAACCTGGTTTTGTCTTAAGTCTCGTTTCAATGTGGCCTTCCAATCTAGACCCAACCTAGAGAATAACTTGGGTTCTGCTGACAGTTAGTTTGGTTGCTTCTTTATTTATTTGTTTGTTTATTGTTTTGGGCCATAACTGGAAATACTCAGGGCTTACACCTGACTCGAATTTCAGGGATCACCCTTGGTGATACTCAGGGCACCATATGGGTGCCCGGGATTCACCTTGGGGGGAGGGGGTGGATACATGCAAAATCCGAGCGCTACATACTCTCCTACAGCTTCTGTACTATTGTACTATTGCTTCCCATTTAGTAAATTCTTGTAGAATTTCCCATACCTATAGCACAAGCATGGTGCATTTCTGAGCACTTACTATGTGCTGTACTTAGGGTTAGTTTCTTATTGACTTTATAGCATCTCTGACCTCAACTTTAAAGTAAACACCTTTCCTGACTTCTCCCCAGGATAATAGAGAAAAATCACAGGATAAAACACAAATACCACCCTTTGAAATACTTTAGAAATCCAAGCAATGACGATAAATGAACTAAAATTAATTATAAACGAAGTCTCATTTTTAAAATGACCTCTGCATTTCAAATTTGGTGTCTTCGTTTGAACATTAGATCAGACAATTTAATTATTCTCATGTAAGCAACTTACATCTTTTGAACATATTTGGGCGATCATTGTGGAAAGAAACCTATAATCACACTTTAGTGATTACTTATTATCAATAACTACCATGGAGGAAGAGAAAAAGCAGTTACTTACGTTCTGCTTTTAACTGCCCAAGGATAGAATTTTCTCCTCTGCACATGGTTCTGAAAATAGAAAAAATTATTATAATCATAGACGTTTCAATAGAAGCAATCCCAACTGCAATATCCATGGAGTGCAATTGTTATCTAAGTGAAAATAGAACAAGTGCTTTTATGAGGAGATGCTATATAGATTCTTAAGTGAAAAAAAACACATCACTATCATTTTTGTAATATTTCTGATGGGGAAAGGTAGTTGTTTTGAGATGCACAAATGGAAAAGTTAAAAAAAGATGTCAGATTTCAAAAGGAGACGTTATTTTTAGTCGATGGTTCTGAATGAATTTTTCTCCTTAGAAAACCTGGTGGCAGCAATATAAACTTAGAATGCCTCAACCAATCCACATACTTGCAGAGTCACATTGCTTTAGACGTGAAAGGGCAAACACTTAGCAAAGAAATTTTGAATTAACTAAACTATTATACCTAGGCTGTCTCTGTAAAGTCAGCGAACCTTTTAAAAGTGAAAAATATGGTCTCTAATAGCTGACTCTGCTAATGACTTTGTTTCTCAAGACTCTTAAAATAGCCAATGAATTAGAAACACTGACAAAATAAAAAATTCTATGCCCCATCTGTTTGCTCTATGAAAGTAATTAAAAATACAGTTATGCCTGGGAACTGCTGATATTATTAAAGATGATGCGAACAAACAGAGATGTTTTTGCATAATAAAAGGTTATAGTTTTGGTTGCTGAACAAAAGCGGAACATGTTTTTTCATTCAGCTGGTTCAAACCCAAGAAAATAGTGATAGAAATAATTACGATTGACAACATTCCAAAAATAATATTAGAATGGAAAATGAAGCAGATAAAATCTAATTAAACATTATGTCAGTGCCTTAAATACTTGAAAAGCTTTGCTTGTTATAAATCAGATAATATTAGAAATGGGAAAATCTTCAGTACAAGTGCACGGAACAAAAAACAGTTAAAGCCCTGTTACAGTGTAACCAGGCAAATCTGCCTGAAAAAGAAATGGAAAAAAAAAATGCTTCCCTTGAAACTACGGCAGAAAGTCAGCTTGAAAAGCCAGAAACAAGAAGGTTGAAAAACAAATAAACTTTCCCACCATAAAGATACGCTCTCATGTGCAGAGAGGACCACGGACTGGGAGGGGTGCGTCTAGGGGGCCTGGGCACAGCAGGAAGGCATCTGCCCACCCCCTCCCATTTAACCTAGGCACTGAGCGCACCAGCCCTGCTTACCTACTTTAAACATGGGCCTGAGGGGGCTTGTGGAATCGAGACCCCACAGTGAGGTTGACAGGAAAGATGAAAAATATATGTGGCTCCGAAAAGCGGGCAGTAAGAAAAGAAACTCTGCAGGGGCTGGCCCCTGTTCTGATTAAGAGTGTGATTTTGAGTGAAGTACTTTTGTATCTCAGGTTACTGAGCTCCTAAGTGGGAGCTGTGATCGTGCCCAGATTTGTCCCTTTCCCAGCTACGTGACCCAGAATAACACTGACTGCTGTCCTCTCAGCACTTTTTTTTTTAAAAAGAAGTCAATTTATTTTATTTATTTATTTTTTTCTTTTTGGGTCACACCCAGCAATGCTCAGGGGTTACTCCTGGCTTTGCACTCAGGAATTACTCATGGCAGTGCTTGGGGGACCATATGGGATGCCGGGGATTGAAACCGGGTCGGCCGCGTGCAAGGCAAAAGCCCTACCCACTGTGCTATCGCTCCAGCTCCCTCCCAGAACTTTCTATACCACCTTTCTTTGCTGGTTCACTAAGAACTCAACTCCTGATAGTACTTCACTTGCAGAAGACAGAAGTCTCTGTACTAGATTCATTTAAGTGAATATATATACACACACATACATATATATGTACACATATATAAACATATATACTTTCAAATATATAAATATATGCATACACATATATATAATATATTGATATATATATAAACCAAAAATCACATTTTCCTTTTCTCAACTTACAGGAAAGAATATGGAATGTTCAATAGCTATCTGGTTGGTTAAAGACATTTTAATACCTATACTATAGATAGGGGCTGGAGCCATAGCACAGTGGGTAGGGTGTTTGCCTTGCACACAGCCGACCCAGGTTTGATTCCTCCGTCCCTCTCAAAGAGCCCAGGAAGCTCCTGAGAGTATCCCAACTGAACAGCAGAGCCTGGCAAGTTCCCCGTGGCATATTCGATATGCCAAAAATAGTAAACAACAAGTCTCACAATGGAGACATTACTGGTGCCCACTCGAGCAAATTAATGAACAATGGGAAGACAGTGCTACATTTCAGTACATTACACACACACACACACAATATTTAATAGCAATTCTCTACACGTACTATGTAGTAAAGATACGTATTCTAAAAAGTGAGATAAGACGCACAAAGATGACCAGTGGAATAAGAGACTAATACTTTAGTTTCATATTCTTGTCAGGTAGTCATGGCCCACAATTAATGATTTTAGGTCCCATTTGAAATTTATCAACCAGTAAACAAAGCCAAGATACAAAAGTACAATGAAGTATTTACTGATTCATCTGTTCCATGTTTACTATATCTGGAGAAACATGTTCATTCCTTTCACCAGTTTGCCTGAACGGCTGATTAAAACTAAGAGAAAAAAAGACCATTTTAGAACATAGCTACCTGTAGTTGAAGTGCATTATTGCCTGTAGAGCATTTCCTCCACCAGTTGAAATGTCTCCTTCAAAACCTGGCAGGAGTGGTATCACAACATATACCCGGTATCTCTGGTTTTCCCTGCAAAAGTCAGATGAATAGTTATTCACTAAAGTAAAAGATATAGTAGCAGTTTAAAGTGACAGTCAAGTGGTTCAACATGGATTTTGAGACTGAAGGAACTGTCTGCTTCAAGCATTCTGTCGCATATCTAGGTCTGGTGGGTGCCGTGTATTGGAGGACAGAAGCTATTATCTGGGTAACAGTTCATGACAACCTAAAATACAAATTGAACTTGGCAGTAGAATGACAATTGTACCCTTGTCTCTAGAGCATAGTCCTTCCTTTTCTTTACAAGAAAGAACTGCCTAGATACCATGAAGACTAGGCGTGGAAGGTTTAACAGGATCACAATCACGATCATTCTGTTGTTTGTCGATTGCCTCGAGCAGGCACCAGTAATGTCTCCTTCGTCCTAGCCCTGAGATTATAAAAAGTGCCACATTCAAGGCTCTTTCAGGGTTAGGAGAATGAGACCCATCATCATGGTTACTGGTATTTGGCATATTAGGTACTCCATGGAGAGCTTGCCAGACTCTGCCGCGTGGGCAGGCTACACTCGTAGCCTGCCAGTTTGTCAAAGCAAGAATGAGATAGTAAGATGTGGCCATTTGTGGCTGCGTGCTTCCGGGAAAGGAAAAGGTTTAACAAACTTTTGAAAAACAGTATTTTCTTTGGGGATTCGGGGTGGGTGACGTGGTCTCCTAAAAAATACTTAAGAGGCCCAAGGGCTCCTCCCATTGACTCTTGGCTAGCCAGGCTCATGGTTCAATGTGAGCTCAAAGATGCAGTGCTGAAATTACCTAAGCCACCCTGGCAATGTACTGGCAGTGTTCAGGGACCTTGTGGTGATCAAGATCTAGCTGGGGTTAGCCAACGATACTATCTCCCTAGTCCACAGTATAGTATCTTAAGAGTTTATGTATAACAAGTTGTATCCAATAGTGCTCAGCTCAGATAGCTAACCATTGTCAAGTAATGCATCTCTGCAGTCTAGATTTCGGTAGCAAAATGACACACTGGTCCCAGTATATTTCCAGTGCAGAAATAACCTCTGTTAATATTTTTAATTTAGGTGTAAAATTCTTGTTCGGGTGAAAAATCCTGGCTTCACGAGGACTCTTAATGAGTCAGGCTGAGTTTTCAATTCTCTGCGTTGACTGTAAGACTGTATTTCTCAGCTCACTCTTCCAGCTGAGTGAGACTCCAAATGAAAAGTCTTTGCATTGCCTTTGGTACTCAGTGATGCAATAGAGAAGTGCAGATTCTTACCTTGATCTGCATTCAGAAATTAAGAAACTATGAGACTATGTTGAACTATTAGGAAGGGAAGTGCATCTAATCGCTCTTCTCCATTTATAAGATAGAAGGGAAATGACTGCCTGTGGGCAAGGAATCACATCCCTTTTTTTGAGGGTCTACATTCATACAATGGTACTGTACTGGTTAAGTTTTAATCAATCCTACTTATTAAATCTTCTTTTTTATTTTTTAATTTTTATTAGTGAAACACCATGAGGTACCATGAGGTACAGTTGTAGATTTACAAATTTTTGTGCTTGGGTTTCAGTTATACAATGATCAAGTACTCATCCCTCCACCAGTGCCCATTCTCCACCACCACCAGTCCCAGTATCCCTCCCACCCCCATCCCCCCATCCCACCCTGCCTCTGTGGCAGGGCAATCCATTTTGTTCTCTCCTTTTGGGTGTTGTGGTCTGCAAAAGAGGCATTGAGTGGCAAACATATTCAGTCCATAGTCTACTTTCAACATGCATCTCCCCTCCTGGGAGGATCCTCCAAACACCCTTTATTTGGTGCTCCCTTCTCTATCTGAGCTGCCCTTTCCCCTAGAATGTCCGGTTGGCCTCTAAGCTATGGAGTAATCCTCCTGGTGCTGGTCTCGACTAGTCTTGGATATTAATCTCCTATTTTGTTACTTTATATCCCCCAGATAAATGCAATCTTTCTATGTCTATCCCTCTCTTAATAATCTATAAAGTCCATTCTCTTCCTAATAACTCCCTCCCCCCTCCCCATGTGAATATTATCACTACTCTCGAAAAGTTTATTTCTGATATTTCTGAATGTCAGTGCAGGCAGAATGTCATACAAAACAGGAGTCTGGGAACAGATATGCTTGAGTGCATGCATGCATGCAAGACAACGGAATTAAGTTTGGTGGTCTATGTGCCTAACTGCGTAACTCGGACACAGGAATTTGGAGAAGACTGCTGTAATGACATGGATTAATCACTAGATGGCGAGCACAGTTTGAGTTGGTGGGGAAAATCCCATAAGAAATGAAAAGTGTTATCTCTGCTTGATAAAGGTAAAAGCCCACATTTATATATGGTAAAAGAGACTATGAAGGAGAAGAACGATTATGGAAGACATTTTTCTACAGAAAATTCTGTATTTTATCTTTAAATAGTTTGGGGGGGGGGGGACCACCGCTTGACAGTACTGGGAACTGGGTTTGCTAGGCCAGAGATCAAACTCAGGTTCCCACACATATGAGGCATGTGTTCCAATCTTCTCAGCCTTCATATCCAATATGTTAAAAATCTAAACAAATTAGACTGGACGCTGATATACTGACACCTGGCCTCAATGGCTTTTCTAGAAGCGGCTTCAGTCTGATGGCCCCAGTGCACGGATAATTAGATGAGGGTAAGAGATGTATGCCCTATGCTCAGGCTCACGTCCTACAAGGAAGGTTGGCTTCTCTGCCCTCTGAGCCAGACTCTACTCTGCAATCCTATTGTGCTACAGAGTCCTGCTCGTTTTCCAGTGTCACTAACTGGCTCCTCCCAGGGTCATCCTGGACTTTCCAGTCCAAACCAGCTGGGCTTCTACTGAGGTCCAGGGCACACGGTTGGGGCAGGGGACTGGGGGCATCTATTCAACACTCTGCCTGCCTCACATAATAGTGATGCACACATTGGTTGCAAAGGCAATATGGGAAGCTCTTCAGAAACACAAAACAGAACCTTGCATGCTCATACTCAGTGCCATTTGCTTGGGACGATGGGATTAAGTTGGAAGAATGTTTCTGGAAAGCTGTTGGTAGAAAAGAGGTTAAGATTCATGGGGTATTTTATGCTAAATTACATTATACTTTGTTTGAATTCCTTATTTACCATGTATTTCTTATGGTAAAATAGATCAACACTAAAATGTCCATTTTAGCCACTTCTAAGTGTACCATTCAGTGGTATTAGTTACACTAACATGATGTAAAAGTATCGTAATATGTAATTTCAAAACATTTCTTCACCACAAACAAAAATCAATAATTAAATAACTCCACCACTTTCTTTCTCTGTAATCTTTAATAAACCCGTTTGACTAATATAGCTACTATAATCTTATGGTATTTCTCCTGACATTTCACTTAGAAAATCTCATCAAGATTCCTCCATACCAGGGGTGAGACTGATAGTGCAGTAGATAGGGCGCTTTTGCCTTACATGCCCTGATCCGAGTTCAGTCCCAAGAACCACATACAGCCCCTCAAGCTCCCAGAAATGATCCCCGAGTGCAGGCAGGAGTGATAATTGAGCACCACTCATTAACAAAATAAAGTAAAAGATTTATCCATGTCATAGTCTATTTCAGAATTCCTTCCTTCTTAGGCAGAATAATTTCCTATATGTATACTATATAATTTCTTTATCCAATTATCTGCCAAAGGTCATGTGGGTTGTTTCTTTTAGCTAGAGTGAATGATGTTTCAATGAATATTGGCATACAGTATCTATTTGGGATGGATACACACACACACACACACACACACACACACACAAACAACTGCAAGATTATATAGTGATTTTTATCTTAAACTTGTTGGGGCTGGAGCAACAGCACGGCGGGTAGGTCATTTACCTTGCCTGCAGCTGACCCGGGTTCAATTCCCAGCATCCCATATGGTTCCCCGAGCACCGCCAGGAATAATTCCTGAGTGCAACACTGGGTGAGACCCAAAAAGCCAAAAAAAAAAAAAATCCCACTTTGTGGCAAAATGTCAAATAAACAACAAGTTTTAATGACTATAGCATAACATTTAAAAAGTAGATAATATGTTAATTTTTTTCTTTTACTCTTTTGTTCTTTGTCCCATTTTTTTCTCTATTACTTGTCAATTCAAAGCTCTTATAGAAATAGACTATGACATGTATAAGCATAGATATATTCTTTTCTTCTATAAAAATGTTTAAAATACTTTTATCATTTTATCATATACCAGGATATCTTGCAATTCCTTCAATACAGTGTTAGTTGCTGTGACATTAATTAAAATTAGATTTAACAAATTTTATTATATTTATTATCTTACATGGCAACATATATAATAATATCTAAGTATGTTCTTTTTCTTAATGTAGGAGTACTGCTATTTATTCGGCCATTGATTAAGCTGATTGAATTGGGCATGAACTCCACATTACTTTTTAAAAAAATTTTTAAAACTGTTTTAATTGAATATCCATGAGATAGGCCATTACAAAGCTGTTCCTAATTGGGTTTCAGTCATACAATGATCCAGCACCCATCCCTCCACCAGTGGACATTTCCTGCCACCAATGTGCCCTGTTTCCCTACCACCATCCTCCAATACCCAACCCTCCCACATCCAGCCTCCCTCTATGGGAGGCACCTTCTTTCTTGGTCTCTCTCTCTTTTTCCTTCTGTGCATTATGGTTTGTTACACAGGTGCCAAGAGGTCATGGTGTTTGTTCAGGGCATTTGTTATTTATTGGAACAGGAAGACTGAAATAGATTTTTAATCAGGGGGCCACTTTGGGGTGTGGATGGGACTGCTGAGGCTTCTGTAAGTACAGGAAGGTGGGGGAAGGTAGCCCAACTTGATCCCGAGAAAACCTGGAGATTTCAGTCACAAAACCTGCATACCCAAATTTTCAGCAGAGTATAACTTGGTGAGGTCCATCCTGAGACGGTGGAGTTGGCCCAGGTGCATGGCAGCGATTTCAGGTTGTGGAATCAAGCACTGCCGGGGC